CAGCGCGAGTTGGCCAAGGGGCTCACGCTCCCAGCACCCACTGGGTGGCAACACAAAGGGGTCTCTCCCTGCGCAAATGAGCACAAGACGGGGCCCATAATCATTAGCAGTGGACATTACACGTGCCTATGGCAGGAGCGTTACATCTGCAAAACAACCAGCGACTCATTGTAAAAAAAACGCGCTATATAATATTTCCAGCACGCCATTACGGAGTGGCGGCGCCTGCAGTTTCGCACACTGTGCTACTACCCGGCGACCCGAGTTCAGCGAACATCGGTGACAAGTGATTATAATCCGAACCGGGTCCTGCAGCCCCGTCCCAGCCCCCTTCGCCAACGTTTGCAGTGCCCCCGCATGGTGAAGTATAGTCAAACTACCACCATTAAAAAAACATGCGTGTGTTGGGAGGTCTTCGCGCAGCAGAGGCTTGATAAAAAGGGCCACAGCTATTTTGACTATTTTCATTATGAAACAGGTAAGCCGTGGCACGATAAAAAGAAAATAACTTAATTAAACTGTCACTCACCCGTCCGATGCATTCCACAAATTAAGATGCACTGCATCACCCCAGAACACCTCCCAACACTTGAGAATGAACAATAGCGCAGAGTAAATATCTGCGGTCTTTTTGTTCCTAATGTTATTGCGGTCGCGCGAAGTTATGCCCTGCGTCACAAGACGAAGGAGGAATCCATTGAGAGATCTCGCACAGCAGCAGCGGACCGTGGTTCGGGAATCAGAATCAGTATTCATCCTGGAGGAATCTGATGAGCTATTAAGCTCTTTATCACAGATGCCCAGTAGGGGCGGGTCATAAAGTTACCAAAACTAAAAATAAAACAACGAAAACGATTCGAGTGTAAAGTATAGCAAGGGCAAACAAATTACAACAACAAATTAATTAATTAAAACTAAAATAGATTGTGTTTTACCAGGTAAAGCCCCACTGAGCTATATAGTTATTTTTTCAGAAGCGACCTGGCCACAAATAATGGCTCAACGAAGTGGCTTATTATCACGTGGAAATGTATAGCAGCCAAACACTCTAAAACACATGTTTCGAAATGTGGAGAGAAAAAAAATGATTACTCCACCACAGGGAGAACATGCAAGCTCCAAATATACAGCAGGCGTCAGGGTCGGGATTGAACTCAAGACCTCCTGTATACCAGGCGAGGTAGCAAACATCACAGCCGCTCTCCTACAAACAGCTTCAAGTTGCCTTCTATCCTCCACACAAGAGAGGGCACAATTTCCCCACACACTCTGCTACGTGAATGTCACGTGACGGTCAAACCAAATTATTTTTTCATTGGGCGATGGAACTTAGACAAGTTTCACTCTGTTAATTAGTTTTCATGCGGCCATTTGCAAGCTGTCAGAAACCATCAGCTCGCTAAGCTTGAGAATAATTAATCGAATCACACCGTTGGCTGCTCTGATTTAAAAACCTAAATCTCGGCAGGGACTCGGGGCCCACCACGGCCACTTTACACGTTTAGCGATCGTCCAAGTGCAACGGGAGAAAAAAATTGGCAGCCTCCCCGTTGGCGGTTGGCTCAATGGAGATGCTTCTCCACAGGGCAGCGATGCAGCTATGGGGGTCTTCATCTTTTCGTTCTCGAGAACAAAACGCAGCCAGCCGAGGGCTACACAAAACTTTGCACACTAAACTGCAATCACGCTCAGCACGATGCCGGTAACCAGGTCTAGGATACAAATAAATTCCTGCCACCCGAACACAGATGCCAATTCGCAGACTGTACCAGGTTCACACTCAAGACTGATGGCACCCCTACGTGGGGAGCCTTCAATATCGAAGACAACGATTCGCATGCCGATTAAAAAAAAAAAACTGGGTCATTAAATTTTTGTTCAACAAAGCCAGTGTTGTAAACGGTGCTTGTGGTACGTGGAGACAAAAAACCCAAAGCCCTGCAACGTCGTCACCCATTATACATTTTTTCACGCGAAGGCCACAACGCGCAGTGGTTGTTATTCACCAATGTAGCGAGTATGATTTTGTTAACTGTGCTTGTGCACCACTGCCAACACAGCAGCAGCAGCGCACCAAATAATATTCGTCATCAAGAGATGATACTTGGCTTCTTAGGTTGCACAAGGGCACATCCTCAGAGCAGCAGCAGCAGGAGCGTTTCCCAACCTGCAATCCCGTGCCACCTGTTGCCAATGTCACCGTTAGTTTGTCTTCACGAAACACCATCCCTGTGTTATACGGCCCGTTGCACACCTATATAGATTAGTCAATACAAAAGCGGGCTAATGATAACTTTTATAGCTTTTAATTAATGTTTTACAGCACTTTTAGGAGTGGTTGCAATGCTGACACAGGGCGCATCACCGGCCAATCACATTGATCTTGCATTGGTGGCTCCACCAGGACATCGCGTGGGACAGGTACACATTCCTGCGGAGGGAGCTGGTAGGAACGTTGGGTTACTCGGTCAATGGCCAGGGTCAACGGCGACGTGGTGTATTCCGCAAATATGGCTGACTGTGGGTGGGCACAAGCCGGCGTGAGTAGGTTAAACATTGAGTTTTATAAGGGCACCATGGGTGACCAGCCACTCCCCACCCAGCCCCACCCTCCCCACCCAGCCCCACCCTCCCCACCCTGCCCCACCCTCCCCACCCCGCCCCTCCCCCCCCACCCAGCCCCACCCTCCCCACCCAGCCCCACCCTCCCCACCCAGCCCCACCCTCCCCACCCAGCCCCACCCTCCCCAACCAGCCGACCCTCCCCACCCAGCCCCACCCTCCCCACCCAGCCCCACCCTCCCCACCCTCCCCACCCACCCTCCCCACCCAGCCCACCCAGCCCCTCCCCACCCAGCCCATCCCTCCCCACCCAGCCCCTCCCTGCACGACGGGCGGACACAATAATCCCCTGTGGGCTGGTGTAACCAGGAGGTTCCTACCAGTAAAACCCCCAGCATGCGAGCTAAGAGTGGGCGAGGTAGGAGAATGCATAGAATGGAGCAAGGAGACATGAGAGGTAGGGGAGCGTGTGGGAGGGAGAGGTAGGAGAGTGCAGTGCGAGTTTATTGGCAATTTGTGCTTCGAGGATAAAACGTAAATACTCATGTGTTTGAAGAGCTCTTGCCAGGGACTCCTATTTCAGCCAGGTGTGCCCGGGTTGACAACCCAGAAAATCATCTCCCCATCCGGCACACCACATCCAGTATACCCCCAACGTTATTGCTGTGGCTGCTAGTCACGTGCCACCTCCCAGAATTTAGTGACCCGGAAAAATAACCGGCGAGTGAGAAATCCCTTGGGCATCGCAATCGGCTCACGACAGCCGCCCCCCCCCCCCCCCCCCCGACGCGGTTACAGCACAGGGGACGGATTTCTCCGGACATTTCAATCGATTATTCTCCTAATTCGCACGGAAGAACAAATTGCTCGGGGACTCCACAGTTCAACCGCGACATCACGGAAGATTGGTCATTAGTCCGTGTCAGAGCCGTACCCTGCCCCGACTCCACTGTGGATTGGGAAGAGGCCCCTGGCGTGCACCCGCAGTGCACCGCGCACAAATCACGGCCTGGTTCCCCCGTGCCACCGGCGTGGACTTGCCTGCACACGGGCCGAGTGCGGAGGCAAGCGGGAGTTTGGTGGGTCGTGCAGATTTACAGAACTCTCCAGGTCCGCTGGAATGCGAGGTGGGGCCAGGCAGTACAGCAAAGTGGGTTTTGCAAACCCATCTGTGTGGACCTACGAGTCTTATGTTCTCATGTGCACGTGGATCTTTCCCCAAGGGTAATCTGGACTTTCCTGGATAAACAGAGGTATGATTATTATTAGAAATGCATTACCTGGCGCTCTCTGTGCTCTACACAAAACACCTGTAACGCTGTCACTCGCACACACGTGGCGGGCGTTAAGGCCAAACCCATCGCCGAAATGGACTCATTTGCGCAATTTATCCAGGCGCCCACCCTAACGACTACAGACAGTTTGTGTATCATCATAATCACCACATGAAGCTTGCCAATTAAAAAAAAACGATTCGGTAGCATGTCAGTCTGTGGGAACGAGTATTCTTTGACTCGACGATAAGTATTTAGAAGCGGAGGGGAGGGGCGGGGCGACGGAATTTTCAGTCAAAGAGTGCTCAGTCCCCTCCAGCCCCCCCCCCCCCCCCAAACGCTATGGCTCGGCACTGCACCGCGACACTGTTTGGATAATTCGTTGTTGATATTTGCGCGGCCTGACGGCGGAATGTTCCGAACGAAATGGATCAATCACGGTCGTATCACGCGAGTTGCACCAACGCAACAAAACCCACAAACATCCCATGCCCGGCGGCGACTCTGGAAGGAACGTCACGGTTCGCCGGAGGCGTTCTGGGCAAGCCGCACGTTTAATCGCGCGTTCTGGGCACACGCGTGCGAGATATTGCCCCAGGAATTCAGTGGCATCTCAAGACTCTTACGCCCACGGGAAACATCCACCGCATGAAGAGCTTGAAGGATGCGTGGTCTTGTTAAAAGGTGAAATAATTCCATGACGGTCGTAAAACGCGAACTCGGTTACGCAAATAAGCACAAAAAACACCCTCTCAAACATTACCACGTTGGAATTATAACTTCCCATTATTGGCATGCATCCCAACACCACCACCAGAGTCCACACGAGGAGCGCCTAAGCAGCCGTCAGTACCAACCGGTTGCCAATAGTGCCAGAACTACCCACGGGAAACCCCCTCCGGACACAACCAAGATACCCCCCCCCCCCACCAGACACGACCGAGGTGGACCCCTCAAAATACCCACGTGCAAGCCAGATGCCACCCAGCTCCCACCCAGAGAGCCTGGTATCTCAAAAAAGAATGACAGGTCCTGGGATACCCAGAAGAGGTGGAAACCCGCGCGGTCGCCTTGTGTCGCCCCTGCCACCAGCGGCTCCGGGTCCCCGTACCCCAGTTCAAGTGGCACGCGCCAGGCGCCCCCATCGTCGCGACCGCCCCTCACCTCGTCGTGCAGCTCGGCGAGCGTGGGCCGCACCAGCTTGTCGCCCAGGTGCGAGCCGGCGTTGCGGTAGAAGTCGATGTGCGGCACGGCGTCGATGGTGTTGTGGCCGAACGTGCGCAGGTAATAGGTGTTGGTGTGCGTGTCGTACGCGTGGTAGCTGCCCTCGCTGCGCGACGTCTCCCCGCCGGCCCCGCCGCCGCCGCCGCTGCTGCTGCTGTTGCTGCGCGAGCGGCTGTTGACGAAGTTCACGCGGAAGCGCCCGGCCTTGCCGCCCTCCTCCTTGTGGCTCGGGTCGCTCAGGTTGCCGTGCGGCGGCTGCTTCTTCTGCTGCTGCTCCCCTCGCTCCTCCGGCCCGTCCTCGCGAGCTCCCTCCTGCGCTTCCTCCTGGGTGCCCGGCGGCTCCTGCGATCCCCGCTCCGGCTGCCCCCCGCCGTCCGCGGCCGCTGCGGCGGCGGCCGCGGCTGCGGCAGCGGCGGCGGCCGCCTCCTCCTCCACCACGTTCACTTGGAAGCGGCTGCCACCCAGGCCACTGCTGGCTGCCAGCTGCAGGCTTGACATTTCACCCGAGGGAGGCTCCATTCTACCCGCTTCTCCCGTTCCTCTGTGAAGCTTCTACGCGGTGCGAGCTGCAGAGAACGGTGAGAGCAGGAGGGGGGGGGGGGAAGACAGCAAGGGTTTACAGCGGCATAAAAACAGCGAGAGATCAACTTCACCAAAGGAGAGGTAAAGGCGTCAAACATGGCCTCACGTCAAAACACACAGCTTACTTGCACATGCACCTAACTTTTTTTGCTATCATGGATCTGGCTCTGACATCTTTGCACTGCCTTTTTCGACTTGCATGTGTTTTTCACTGTTAGACTAAAACATGGAGCTTACTCGCACTTATACCCAACCTTTTCCGGCACCTCTCGCACACCTCACATTTGCACCATTCGATTTGTCCGTTTCGTTTCCGGCCGCTAATATCTTGTTTGTTCGTTGGGCAACATTCCTTAAGGATGTTTTTGCCTTTTGCTTTTGTTGCTGCTGCTGCTGTGCTCACGCACCTCCTGTGTAAAATAGCCGGGCCACTCGCTAAACTGCGTCATTCGTTTAACAAATAAACGTAAACAATCCGTGGCAGTCTTGGACCTGTGCTTCGAAGCGTGCAGACAAGTCGCACACGCCCCGCCGTGTCGAGGGCGCACGTCCAGATCACCTTTCAGCCGTGTGCATCTCTCTCAACACGTCCTGCGTCTGTACACGAGAACTCCTTTTATCTGCCACACCATTATAGGCATCTCCTATTATCCCAGGAAACTGCAGGGTACCCAAAAACTCCTATTACCCCATGGCCCTCTCCCTTCCTATAATCTGTGATTATCCACGGCTTTTGCCAAAAGTCTTTGCGAAAACGGCATCTTATTATCTGCAATAAAAATTCACGGACAAAAGTCTCCACGTGGAAAATTCATCCCGTTATCCGTGGGGTTAGTCGCAAAAAAATTACCTGGCGGATTAAGGGAGGAAATAAAATGCCAATAAATGCCACAGATAATAGGATCCGTGATATTGGTCGTCCCCATATCACCGTCGCTAAGAGGAGTTCTCCTGTATCTGCGTATCACTCTGCGAGTGTCCATGTCTGTATGATCGTCATTATTGCCATCATTATTTGTTAATTGAAATGTCACATCACATGCGGAACAGCTCGAAAAATCGGAACAAAGTGGTAACTTGAGATAATTAGCGTTACTCATGAGGAAGAAGTGATGGCAGAGCAAATACAATTATTAAAAACGATGCGTTATGTACAACATAGACAACACAATGATGACAAAAGCTCATCGTCTGAACTGCACTTGACACTCTCTGCTGTCAAATTCATTGAGCTATTCATGTACTACCTGAAAATAAGTGTATTTCGTGTGGTCTTTGAATGGATGAATTGTGGCTAAATTCATAAAATGTCGATGTGAGCTGTATCCAACCCAAAACCATGGGACAAAAACACCACAAACGTTTGTGTTTATGTGACTCTCGATCCGTGCGTGCAGCCGTCTCGACTGGTGCTTGTCCGAGTGGCGTGTGCATCTCGTGTATAGAGGCTCTATAAAACGTTGTTGATCCATGACACACCATGGGAAAGGGCGAGTGGTAGAGTCCATTGCCATTTAAGGGCAGATGAGTTGGGAAGAAGAAGGGATGCCAGGACGGAAGTCCCCAAAGAAGAACAAAGTGGAGGCTACGGCTCAAGCTGAACAGCAGGAAGAAGGAAGGAGGAAGGAAGAAGTGTCAAGCAGGAATGGCCTGGGGATGAGAGGGAGGCTCATAAAGCAAAGCATTGGAAAAAAAACGTAATGATGAACGCAGCAAAGTTCCGACTACACCGATCATCTTCTTGTTTCCTCTGATCGTAAAAAAAAGAGAGAGCGATGAACAGGGGGAACATAGACATGGAGTAGGGAGAGAGGGGGTAGAGAGAGGGGGGGTAGAGAGAGGGGGTAGAGAGAGGGGGGGGGGGTAAAGAGAGGGGTAGAGAGAGGGGGTAGAGAGAGAGGGAAGGGGTAAGAAGGAGAAGAGCAGAGCGTGACATCTTTTGTGAAATCTTTCATTTAAAAAAGGGGGGGGGGGGGGACAAAGCAAAGCATTGAAACAACGAAATGATGAACGAAGCAAAGTTCCGACTACACCGGGCATCCTCTTGTTTCCTCTGATCGTAAACAAGAGAGGGAGGCAGAGAAGGGAGGGAAGAGAAGGGGAGATAACGAAGGAGCTAGCAGACGTGACCTGCACGGAGGAGCAAGCGTCTGCTTTCACAGGGGGTGGGGGCAGGGTGATTCAGAGTGGGGGTGGCCACACAGATTTCACGTGATTTACGAGGGGCTTGAGCCGCTGTAGATGGAGAGATTTGCAGTTGGCTCAACTTCGATCAGGAACAGTGCGGAATGGCTGTGATTTATGTTCGAACACCGCCTCGCAATTCACCTCGCCATGTTTTGAACATTCATTTGCGGAAAGCTTTTTCTTGGTTCTTTCGGTAAAGTCGCGTAGAAGGGAAATAATACAATAATGAAAATAAAATATAATAAAATTCTCACGACGTTTCGGCCACAACACAAGCAGCCGTCCTCAGGTGAAGACAGAGCTGTCTGAAAGACAGCGCTCCAATGAACACCGCTAAGCGTGGCAGCGTATTTTAAGCTGGGTGGGTGGAGGAGAGCGCCTTAACAAAGGAGTTTACATATCAACAGAAGACTTTAGCATTGAATAAGCTGTGTTAATGTGAGATAATTAGCAGGATGTTAAAGTCATACATTAGCATGTAAGAACCAAGAAGATGAATACCTGCAGTCACGAAAGTTTTAAATCGAAAAATTTGCGTAAAGCTGTTGACACGATTTCAGGAGTAAAGTAGTATAGGGTGCAACACAGCATTCGTGTTGACAGTCATGCATTGAGTGATTGGTGCCTTCAGCTAACGATCACGACTCCGAGCCAGCCCTGTGGCAGAGGAAATATCGAGTGGGAAATGAAGCCATGGAATTCAGTTACAAACCCACGTAAATTTGAAGTTTTCGTGAGTGCAGGGATGCATACTCTTTGGTTCTTTCGGTAAAGTCACGAAGGTATAAAAAAAATATGTATTTTATTTATATAAAAAAAAAAATTATGAAGTTTATTTCATTTTTTATAAAATACAATAAAAAATAAAATACAATTATTTTTTTCAATAATCAACTTTGGGGAGAAGGGTAATTCAATTGACCATACTTCACCACGCTGGTCAACACGCATTGGTGTGGATGGGGAGCTGACAGGGGGCATAGAAGTACAACAACGCAACAACGATTGTAGCTGTTCTGACAACCACTTAGCCCCGCAAGCCATATGACGACTGAAGTCTGGCAGTCACTCACTTAAGCGCTAAGCGCTATCCAAGCCCAATTCCTGGTTAGTTTCCAGAGCTCTGTTTATGCATCTACCGGTCTTTTTGCATGAATAACAAACAAACAAAACAAGAATTCCACAAAAAATTGTGGGCCTTGAAATAACATATCTATACACAGTAACTATATAATTAATCAGAGACGTTTCGGGCAATGCCCCTTCATATCATGCGTCGCCGATATTTTTTTATTTCTTTCAAGGCCAAAGTGTTGAGTGGTGGTGGTTTTTATTGTTGTTGTCTGTGCTTGTGTACCGCTACCAACGCAGAAGCAGCAGCATCACCAAATCATTCGCCTTGTACAGGGAGAAAGGGAGTACAGCCCAGAGCTGTACTCTCTCTCTACACGTGGTCTCGAGTGTATGTCTGTAGCTGTTTGCCAACGTCGTGTACACACACCTACCTCCTACTACACACACACACACACCTACCTCCTACTACACACACACACCTACCTCCTACTACACACACACACCTACCTCCTACTACACACACACACACACCTACCTCCTACTACACACACACACACACCTACCTCCTACTACACACACACCTACCTCCTACTACTCCTACTACACACACACCTACCTCCTACTACACACACACCTACTACACACACACACACACACGTGTGTGTACACGCACACCTACCTCCTACTACACACACACCCCCTACCTCCTACTACACACACACACCTACCTCCTACTACACATACACACCTACCTCCTACTACACATACACACCTACCTCCTACTACACATACACACCTACCTCCTACTACACACACACACACGTGTGTGTGTACACGCAAACCTACCTCCTACTACACACACACACGCGTGTGTACACGCACACCTACCTACTACACACACATACACCTACATACTACACACACATACACCTACATACTACACACACCTACCTACTACACACACCTACCTACTACACACACACACGTGAGTACACGCACCTACTTACTACACACACACGTGTGTGTACAAGCACATACTGTACCTACTACACACACGTGTGTGTTCACACACCTACCTACTCAACACACACGTGTGTGTACAAGCACATACTGTACCTACTACACACACACACGTGTGTTCACACACATACCTACTAAACAAACGTGTGTTCACACACCTACCTACTACACACACGTGTGTGTACAAGCACATACTGTACCTACTACACACACACACACGCACGTGTGTTCACACACCTACCTACTCAACACACACACGTGTGTTTACACACACGTGCACACGTGTGTTCACACACCTACCTACTACACACACGTGTGTGTACAAGCACATACTGTACCTACTACTACACACACGTGTGTTCACACACCTACCTACTACACCCACGTGAGTGTACAAGCACATACTGTACCTACTACACACACACGTGCGTTCACACATCTACCTACTACACACACGTGTGTGTACAAGCACATACTGTACCTACTACACACACACACGCGTGTTCACACACCTACCTACTCAACACCCACACACACGTGTGTTCACACACACCTACCTACTACACACACTGTGTTTACACACCTGATCTACTACTACACACACACACGTGTGTTCACACATCTACCTACTACACACACGTGTGTGTACAAGCACATACTGTACCTACTACACACACACGTGTGTTCACACACCTATCTACTC